TGAATACTCTAGTCGTCATCATCCCTCCCCTCTGGGCGTATTTCTCTTCTATCACAAACTTAAAAGTCAAAAAGCAAAATTAAAAAATAAAAACGTCATCAACGGGCAGTCAGATTTTAATTTTTAGTTTATATTTTTTGTGTTTGAGATATGAGAAAAGTATATGGACGAGATTAATGATGAAGATGAAAACAAAATATTGAAATTGAAAGCAATATCTCCCTTCTCGACATATTTCTCTTCTATCGCTTACTTTAAAGTCAAAAAGCAAAAACAAAAAATGAAATCATCATCAAGCGCGTCGTTAGGTTTTAATTTTTAGTTTATATATTTTGTACTTGATATATGAGGAAAGTATATGGAGGAGATTAGGGATGAAGAGGGGTGATAATAGAGAGGCGAAGAATTAAAGAAAAATAAATGAAAACAAATATTGAAATTGAAAGCAATTTATAAAAGTTTTTAGTTTTCTTTTTGGTTTAATTTCAGTTTACTACCGTAAAGTTTCTTGGTTTTTACATTTGATATATCGAGTTTTTTCATTCTAGAGTGATACCTGAAGTTATAATTTTGGAACACTTTCATATATCTGTTAAGGTTGTTGTTAAATCAACCATTAACTGATGGCATGGTGCCCATGTTGACACGTGGTGTGGCACCCACGTTGACGCGTGGCGTGGCGACCACCTAGATATTAAAATAATAATAATAATAAATAAATCTGGGCCGTCCTCTCCTACGTCACCTCCCGCTCACACCCAACCATCCCTCATTTCTCTCCTCTATACCTACCTTCTTCAACTCCCTGCACATTCATTGTGACATCCCACATCGCCCAGGAGAGTGATCCTTATATGTATATTCCCATCCCTACCTAGCACGAGACCTTTTGGGAGCTCACTGGCTTCAGGTTCCATCGGAACTCCGAAGTTAAGTGAGAAAGGGGCTTGAGCAATCCCATGATGGGTGACCCACTGGGAAGTTGCTTGTGAGTTCCCAAAAACAAAGCTATGAGGGAATGGTAAGCCCAAAGTGGACAATATCGTGCTACGGTGGTGGAGCGGGCCCTGAAAGTGGTCCCGCCTAGGCAGGGATATGACATCCACCCTTACCCTTCCTCTTCGACTCCACTCTTCTTTGTCCACTGATCCCTCCATACCTGAGGCCATCTCCAATCGATGACTGGCCAGAAGGCTCGTTTTAGCCCTCTAGCCCTCCAAGATTCTCCAAGATATTAATATTTTAATGAACAGTACAGGGCCATATTTGCCTCCGTCTCCAACCGAGGGCTAGATGGCTTGTTTTAGCCCTGCCACAAAAAACCGTCTCCAACTGAGGGTCAAAGGGCCATAGGATAAAAATAGAATTTAAAATAGAAGTTACAGGATAAAAATAGAATTTAAAATAAAATAAAGCAAGTAGGTGAAATAGAAGTTATAGGAAAAAATAGAATTTAAAAAAAAAATGAAACAAATTTTGTAAAATAAAAGTTATAGGAAAAAATAGAATTTAAAAAAATATTAAAAATAGAAGTTATAGGAAAAATTTTGTAAACAAAAAATAATAATAAAAATATATATAAAAAAAAAATTAAATGCAACGGCTAGCTGAGTCAGCTAGCCGTTGCATTTGATTTTTTTTTTTTTTAAGACATGAATATATTTATATTAAATAATATAAACGTATTCCTGTCGGTTATAACCGACAGGATTCCCAGTATTTCTAGCCAGCCCTCCAGCTCTTTAGCCCTCCCCGATTCAATGGGGCCCTCTCAGATTTCAGAGCCCTCTGGCCTAGCGCTCGGTTAGAGACGGTTCTCGAGCTATTTTCGACCCTTTGGCCCTCTGGACCTTTCGGTTGGAGATGGCCTGACCAACCTCTCCCTCATTACCATACCCTAACTCGATCCATTTTCCAGATTTGACAGCGGTGATCCATTGTGTTGACTTAAGGAGCGACAACTTAAAGGCGTTGGGTCCACCGCACTATACAGGAAAAGATTAGAATTGGGATGATCCTGGAGCGAGGATGGACGACCCTGTGAGCTTGAACCTCTGAGCCCCACCTACCAGATTTGACAGCGGTGATCCATTGTGTTGACTTAAGCAGCGACAACTTAAAGGCGTTGGGTCCACCACACTATACAGGAAAAGATTAGAATTGGGATGATCCTGGAGCGAGGATGGACGACCCTGTGAGCTTGAACCTCTGAGCCCCACCTACCAGATTTGACAGCGGTGGAGAGCCAAACCCAGTGGCCAAACCGATTTTTTAAAGCTTTCAAATGTTCTCCCCATTTGCGTTCCAATTCGATTTTTTACTGTGGGTGTTGCAGATCCAAACCCAGCGGCCAAAAACCATTGAGACTGGCTTTGACAGCGAAGGGGATTAGGAGCGGGGGGGTGAGGATGGAGAAGATGACCCATATTTTTTAATTTTCTTCAATTTTTTTTTAAACTTTTTAATATCTACATGACCACACGTCATCAGTTAATGGCTGATTTAACAGCAACTTTAACAGATGTATGAAAGTGTCATAAAATTATAACTTCATGTACTATTCTGGGATTAAAAAAATTGATGTACCAAATGATGAAAACCAAGAAACTTCATAGTTGTAAACAAAAATTAATCTTTTCTTTTTTAACATTTTGTACCATTCCTTTCACATTTCTTCTGTAACTCTCTAACCATTCGTTCTCCTTTTTTTTTTTTTTTTTTTTTTTTTAATTTTTTGTATCTCTAACACAAATATGAAGCCACTTAGTACTATGGTCTGATAGTATTACTCTACACTTGAAAGTAAAAGGTCTTATGTTTGAATCTCGTGGATGATGAATTCGATATCAAATTAGACTGTCCATTGTCTGTCTTAGCCGAATTCCATCTCCCTTTAGTGTAAAAATATCGATGTATTAAAAAAAAACACTAATATGAAAACTAAAAATTAAAATCGAAACGATTAATTATCAAACATGCTGTTGTATTTTTATGGGATACTTTGGATGCAATCCTTAATCACTAGTGTACATTGATTGAAACCTTATTAGTTTTTAGATTTTTAATCAAAATCCTTTAATTTTGTACACATCAACATATTAGCATTAATCAATTTCCATGTCAACTATTTTATATTTTAAATTAAATATTGTAATATAGACATCCTTTAAAGTAATTTTTTTGTCCAAACATTTAAAGCAATTAAATAAAATAAATTACCACATTTATGGGATATAAAATCCCATAAGATTTGAAATTTACGTTTATGGGATTAAATAATAAACTCCACCCTTAGAAAACCTTAAACCAATTAAAATTTGGTAATTAAAATGTGGAAAATAAGTTATGAAAAGAATTGTTTTTTTTATTGAAAGGCATGATAAAAGATAAATGTTCCCATAAGAATGTACCCATGTACAATTATAGTAATTCAGAAGAATGTACCCATATACAATTTCAACATTAAAACCCATATGTGACAAAAAATAAAAATAAAAACAATGTACCCATATAAACTCTTAATGTAAAAAATGATTAAAGGATGGAAAAATGGAAGCAAACCATAATTGAGAGGTCTTAGGTTCGATTCTTGCCAACGACGAGTTTGAACCACGTTATTGCTAGTCCATTGTGAGGCTCAGTCGACCCCTCCTCTTAATATACATAATATCGTTCGTTAAAAAAAAAATTACTTAAGGGTACATACTATATAAATCTTATAGGAAAATGTTATATATATATATATATATATATGGGTAAAAAATAATTTATAAGAAAAGTTTACAAAGGTAGTATAGAATAAAAGTTGGGTACATGGATTAAGGAACAAGAGAAGAGAATGTACCCAATGAAATTAAAATTGTGTTCATAGCAATATAATGGTCATTTATTATGATTTTGTAATATGATAGTCATGGAAAAAAAAGTAAGTTTGAATTTTTTTGGCAAAATTTAATTTGAAGAATATATTTAATATAATAATGTTGAATTTATAAACATAAACTTGAGTGAGAGAACTTTGAGATTTTCAATTACAAACGTGATAATGTAGTAAAAGTTATAAATTAAAATATGTAAAACAAATAAAAATATGACATGGAAGTATTATAATAGTAAATTGTTGAGTTGTACAAAGTCAAGAGACTTTAATAAAAAAATTAAAAACCAATAAAATCTCAATCTACGAACATTAATGATTAGGGATTGGATCCTTATTTTTCCTATTTTAATTTTGCATACCATTTCATACACTTTTTTAGCTATTTTACATCCCTCTACCGTATTTTCTCTTCCTCCTTCATCCTTTATTTCTCTAATATTTTTTCTCCTTCATAAAATAATAACAAAATAAAAATTAATACCCAAAACTGAAATGATTATCGAACGACAAATCCTTTCTTTTTCTTAAAAAGGCAACACATGTTTGAATGGAAATTACACGGAAGGTCAGAATAAATAGTTACTTCACTTTCTTGGTTATAACCTGGAAGCAAGAACATTGACTGCCTAAACAAAATGTGTTGACCTCCTCCCAGAAAACTGTAACCTTGTGAGTTCGTCTCGGTTGCATACATCAGGTCCTGCCTGCAGTCCCACACAACTTGAAGGAAAGGAATAAAGCAACGAATATGATATATCTTTTCTTTCTTTTTCTCACCTTTTTTATCTTCTTTTTCACTGTGTCAACTGACGGATTTCAAGCAATGAATATGTTTGTTGTAACCACCACAAGTCCTATCGTCTAATGTAACATGATAGAGGCTGGCGTTTCTTTAAGCTCATGGTTTCATACAGAGTTGCAGCCACAAGAGTTAGAACAGATGTGCTTCTCACTATGTACCCAAGTTTTTAAATTTACTCACCGGATTAATGTGTCATGCCACAAGCAATTTTAGTGGTCGAATTTATGAACAAATGAAACATCTTAACGAGTCGACGATAGGGATTTGTTTTAGTGTTTGTCTTCCAAAGTTTTACAAAAAAACCTTTCAATCTGTCATCTAACTGTTGTGTTTAGAGCCGAAGAGCGCACATTAATTTAGAACCAACAGAACCGAAAATGATATGAAGAGATTCAGCTTTCCAAAGCACAAATGTTAACACTAAAGTAAGACTGCACAGATAAATGATTAAATAAAACTATTAAAACTGACCATCCTTGCAAGGGGGTTCTTATAGCTCAAGGGTTACGTTCATTCACCCCAATACTCGAGATCTTATGCTGGAAACCACTTCACTTGAGATCCCGTGTTCTAATCCAGCTTCCTATATCTGATGCACTGAATTTTCGGAGTACTAGGAAATGAGAAGTGAGAACATGGGTTATTCCATTCGAATTAGTCGTTGCCGCAAAAAAAAAAAAAAAAAAAAAAAAAAAAACAGCAGTTCTCTGAGGTCTCACAAAGACCAACACTTGAACCTACTAGGAAACTCCATTAATTAATTTAGCACATGATCAAGGGAAATTAATCTTGAGACTTGGCCCTTCATAATATGAAACATCCAAAAGTGCGTTTTTGCAGTAAACCTTCTAAGTCTTGGAGGGACCAAAATTTATACACTACTTTAGACTCATGACTGAAATTAAAATAATATTTAGAAAATTAAGAATGATATATTTTTCTTGTACCACACATGAAATATCAACAAAAAGGGAAAGGAAAAAAAAGGTTGGTTATCATCATTGGGTCCTTGACTTCTTTTTGCAGTTTATATAAATGATTACCCTATAGCCCTATATCTACCCCCCATATTATCCTCTAGTTTGATCCAATCCAACCGTACGCATTTTGTAAACTAACTTGTAGCTTCAGCAAATATGAGTCTCAAGAAACTAGCATTCACCTTCTTGACTCCTAGTTGTTTCAAGGCCAACAAACTAATTGCAGATCAAAAATCCCAAACGTCAAAAGAAATCTCATTGCGGAGATTGTCACTCTCGGATTTGAGTAACTCATCGGTATGCACAGCCCTCAGTGATCTGTCAAATTCACTTATTGGCTCAAACCTTCATATTTTTGCACACAAGGAGCTTAAAAAGATTACACAAAGTTTCTCCAAGAGCAACTATCTCGGTGAGGGCGGGTTCGGGCAGGTGTACAAAGGTTTCATTGATGACAAGCTTAGGCCTGGATTGGAAGCTCAGCCTGTTGCTGTTAAAGTCTTGGATTTAGATGGCAAGCAAGGACATAGGGAGTGGCTGGTAGTAATTCTTTTTTTTTTTTTTTTTCCCATTTCAAGGCTATGCTCCTAATCATATCATATGCTTCCCAAGTTGTGGGAAAATGCTAATTATCAGACACTTTTTTATGTTGTAGGCTGAAGTGATTGTTCTTGGGCAACTGAAGCACCCGAATCTTGTTAACTTGATCGGGTACTGCTGTGAAGACGATCACAGGCTTCTGGTGTACGAGTACATGGAGAGAGGCAACTTAGATCACCATCTATTTAAACGTACAATTCTGATCATGCACGCATGATTTTTATGTTTTTTTAATTTTGAAACTAGCACAAAATATTTGGATCAGAAAATTTATGAATTTGTTTGTTTGTTCATTAATGCAGGTTATGGTGGAACCCTGCCTTGGCTAACAAGAATCAAGATAGCAATTGGAGCTGCAAAAGGCCTCAGTTGCCTCCATGAGGAAGAAAAGCCAGTCATATACCGCGATTTTAAGACTTCGAACATTTTACTGGACTTGGTAATTTTCTCTCCTTAATTAGCACTCTTCCGCTCTTCATACATGCGTAAATATTGCTTATCTGATAAAATTATGTCTTCCTTTTTCCTGCAGGATTACACGGCTAAGCTGTCTGATTTCGGTCTTGCCATAGATGGCCCGGAAGGAGATGAAACACACATTTCAACGCACGTCATGGGAACTCATGGCTATGCAGCTCCAGAATACGTCAAGACAGGTAATTCAAGTTGGTATCTTGAGTATTGCTATTTGTACCATGTCAACCGACCACTATTATATCAACTACACATCGAAAACGCTGCACATGTCCAGTTAATACTATACAAATTGTTTTATTATTTCAAGTTACTACTTTCATTTATTCATAATAGCATAAAATTTTAAATTTTCATTAATCATATACTCTTCGTTTTCAGGTCATTTAACAGCAATGAGCGATGTATATGGCTTCGGCGTAGTTCTTTTGGAACTACTAACTGGTAGAAGGTCCGTGGATGAGAGCCGTCATGGTAGAGAACAGAACCTAGTGGAGTGGTCCAAACCATTTTTGAAGGATACACATAAACTTGACAGCGTGATGGATCCTAGGCTCGAGGGTCAGTACTCGACTGAAGGGGCTAGAAAAGCGGCTGCATTGGCTCACCAATGCCTGAACTACAACCCCAAATGTAGACCAACGATGAGCAGTGTGGTCAAGACCTTAGAGCCTCTTATGGACTTGACTAATGACATCCCAATCGGACCCTTTGTGTACGTTGTTCCAACTGAGGAAGAAAACAAAGTTAGTGTGCATAGGGTTGAAGGAGAGGGGCAAGCTGAGTGGGAAGTGGTGAAAAACGAGAGCAAAGGTGAAGAAAAAGTGGTGGAAACGAGAGCGAAGGGCCGCCACAGGAGACGTAAAGGTCATCGGTATAGAAATCGGATTAAATCATTGAGGTCTAGTACCGTTTATTCTGATACTGCTCTTTATAGAATTCTTGGAACTGATTTGTACTCTCCCAAATAAGCAATTGATGTCGTTAGGGAAAAAATGCACATGCTTTAGCATGATTTGGTCATGCATCCTCTTGGAAACAAACGGAAAAGGCGAAATATGCACAGAAAGAACTGATTACAAGCTTTTAGTTGAAAATAGAATTGAAAGACACTAAACAAATAATATATTTGTACGTATACATTAGAGTTGTTTTATTTGTTGCGAGGATCTTCCCTTTATGTATGATTTTTGTAACTTATTATTATTATTATTATTACAAGGAAAAACAAGTACTTTGAAGAAACACAATACTCTGTTTTCAACTTCAAATTTCTATGCTTTCCATATAAAGAATTCATATTACACGAATTTATTACTAGTGCATAAGGTTATATAAAGAATAAAAATGACCTTGATTAAATTATTTATGGACTCACTATTTTAATCTTCCATTCGTTTCTGGAGTGCAAAATATTCTATTCAATGTTCCAAGTCAATTTTCCATCAATTCTCCCTTTGTGTTCAAAATTAGCTCAAATGTAGTGCACCAATCAAAGGGTTTGAACAACCCACCAAGCAGATTTCACAAAAATATTTGGAGGGTTAAGGTCATCATAGTTAGACTAGAATTCTGCGGGGGCCTGCCTCATATTTTTCCACCCTTTGCACCAAACCCACCCAAATCCCAAGTTTGGCCTAATTCATAAGATGAGTTTTGCTGATTCAAATGATGAAAGTCTTTGTAAGACTTTGAATTATTTGCCATTGCTTATGACCACAATTAGTAAACAACTTGCAACGGTCTCATTGGGCTCGTGTTCAGGTTTACTCATGTCCATGTCGTTTGAAATCACATATTGATGAACAAGCAAAACGATATAGAATAATTTATAGTACAATAATTCATACTCATGATCAGAAAAATGAGAATTCGATTAATTCATATTGATGATAAAAAAAATGAGAATTCGATCTAATATTCATTGAGCAGTAAAAATTGTGTACATCCATCCCATCCCCAATTTGAAACAAGTAGGGTTAGAAAAGGGTCAGGGTTACAGAAATTCAAAGCAACTTTTAGCTAGATAAGTGGGAAAGCTTAAGCTAGAAATAGGGTTAGCTTGAAGACTTAAGACCCCCAAGATAACCTTTGTACAATCCATTTGGATGAAAGTCAATGGATGGCGTTCGAGTTGATGCAATTGCTTGTCACTAAAATTTCTAGCTTCCATCACCAGGAGGTGAAACTTCATGAGCAGCCTGATCCGGATTAAGTAACCGAGAGCACTAATGCAGGGGCCATAGGTGTGATTAAGCCTTGTATTTTTCGTCACACACCCAGTCTGCGTCATACGTTTCACCTTATGGAAGAGCAACCCCTTCAACTAAAGGCTCTTCTGTCCAAAACCAAGAACATGTTCAGAAAATACAATGATTGATAACCTATATGGGAACATGGATTGTGGCTTGGCATCAGCTAGATGAGTTTACATGTTATGTGTTGGCACGACTTGTAAAGACGTCCGAGAATAAATCTGCCCAGGTAAGCAGCCGCTTTCTAGCTCGAAGAAAGCAGACCCATTAAGTTACTCCGCACTAATAAACTTTTGCCGTTTCGCCACTTACATTCTAATTCTTCTTAATGACTCTTCTTAAACCAACTCCATCCCTGCCAAATTGCCCAAGCAGATTGAGCAAGCAATTACTGCATTTAGTGAACATTAACTCATTACGTGCATCTTTATCCCTAAACTAAATAGCTTAGGCTATTGGTATTAAATTATTATTATTTTTTTATATAAAATAATAAAAGATAATTTTATTTTTAATTTCAAATAGGATCTGAAAGTACAATTTTTGTAGATAGATTTTCGAGTAGATTTTTAACTAATTTCGCAACATCACTTGCTATGATTCTGTAAGAATTTTGTGGATAGATTGGTTCAAAGTAGATGAAAAATATGAGAGAAAGATTGGTTGAAAGTATTTGAAAATATTTAAAATATAGTGCAAGGTGGAAGAGCATGGTTAGATTTTCGAGTAGATTTTTAACTAATTTCGTAGCGTCACTTGTCATGATTCCGTAAGAATTTTGTGGATAGATTGGTTAAAAGTATATGAAAATTTTGAGAGAAAGATTAGTTGAAAATATTTGAAAAGGGAAGTGTTATTGGCACTCCAAAAATCTCATTCTACACTCCTCAGAAGTGCATTTTTCTTTCCAAATATAGAAAGTTTGGAGTGTAGAATGAGATTTTTGGAGTGTCAATAACAATTCCCTTTGAAAATATTTAAAATGTGGTGTAAGGTGGAAGAGCATGGTTAGGTACTTATGTTTTTCTGTACCTTTTTGTTTTTATAATTTTTATTAACTTAATTAATATGGACCATTAGATTACAAAAAAAATCGTGACTCAACAACCTAGATTTTGACACGTATGCCAATAGTAACTGACACACCCTGAACCAGAATGTCCACCTAGATTCCGAATTAAGTTGTGCTAGCTGACACCCAGATAGTGACGAAGCCATAAAGTGTAGTGAGGTTAAAAATGTGAATAAATTTAAATCTAAAAGTGCCTAAATGTAAGAGTGCGCATGTGAGTGAGAATGAACTCATTTCACACGTGATGTCAAAGCACAAGTATAGTCCAGTAAAAGTAAAATGAGAATTATATTGTCGAAGGTAATCTTCTATTCCAACATTTGCCAAGAATCCTCGTCGACACAAAGACTCTGCCACTAAAACCTGGAGGAGCGAAAAACAAAGGTGAGTGTGCCTAAAAATAAAGTTTTGTAAAACGTTTTAAAAAAACGTATAACCTATCACCGTAAAACAAGTATAGTTTCTAAATATATATAATATATATAGTATGAAAACACTTACCGTAAACAGTAATACTTCAGAAATACGGTAAGTCACAATATTTCACATATAAAACATATAACATCCAATAATCACATTATCTTGCGTAAATGAACATATAATATCTGGTGCTCATCGACATATGCTCACACACGAGCTCATGCATAAGTATTCTAACATGAATAGGACTCGATGTAATGATGATTTATACGCTAGTACTACAATCACATGAAGACTGGAGCTATGCGCGTCACATACAAGTTCTAATTGCCTTTAGCAATCTAGGACAGGACTGACACTTATAATGGATCCAAAGTGAGTGTACGGTGCGATATGAACATACATGTGAAGACTGGCCCTAATCCAGGCGAGTACTAACACAAATATAGCACACGATAAGCAGATAACATAAATATGATAATGTAACGGTAAATCAACAATTCGATAATTCTAATCAATGAAATATTATTCATGACCATAAATACAACCAAGGCATCCACAATAATACGCATACTTGTGCATCATATAGGACATAGCATAATTTCATGAATTCCGTCAATACGCTAATTCTTAAAGATGTTAATCTACTCTATGCGTAATGTAGAAAATTATTTATCAAATATATAAATAGAAAATAAATAAATATATAATATTTAAAAGCAAAGACCCACCCACAAATCATGTCGCTGGGTCAAACCTGTCTCGCGGGCATCAAAGATCCTTGTGATGTGTTTCACCTAGGAACGAAACCCTTTACATCAATATATAACGTACTAACATAAATTCGAGTATTTGTACAAAGTACGGTCAATAAAGAAATTATTTTAAATTGATCAAATTTCAAAAAATGGAAGGCAGATATGGATTCGGCATATCAAGAAACTTAAGGATGGACCTTGGGTTCCTCCACGTGCCACCACAAGGTAGCTGCACTGGTAGCCACGCGTCGGTCACCACGCGCCTTCATCGTGATTTCTAGATTTTTGCAGGTTTTCTCTCTAGCTTCCAGAGCTCATTTCGAGCTCGATACTTAACCAAAATTGATGATTCAAAAGCCAATTTGAAGGTAGAATTGTAGGGAACAAATCCATACCAAAATAGGACTGAGTTATGGTTGGTGTTGGCCCAAGGAATGAGCTAAAAGTGACCAGATGATCATGGTTCCTTTGCTGAAAAACTGGGGAATCTCCCCCATCGAGATTTATGTGTTATTTTGTTCATTTAAAACATGTACACAAGATCAATATCGAACCATAAGAATAAAATGAAAGGTTTTTTGGATTTCCCGAGGCTTACCCCTAGTCGAAAATGCAAGAAACTCGCTAGGGAACATAGCTCCCTTGGTGGTTTGGTTTAATTTACAGAGGAAAGAGACGAGATAGACAAACGAGCTCAAAGCTTTACTCTTCAATTCTGGTCGTACAAGTAGGTGGTGATGGCAGTGATCTGAAGGTGGTTAGGAGGTTCACCAGAGTTGGCGAGGTGGTGTGGCGGTGTTACTGTTGCACCTACTTGGTGCTTGCAGAGGAATAAGGGAAAGTTATAGATGCGAGTTTGATATAGGAGAGTGGGGTGAGACGTGGTGGTGATCTAAATGGTTAGGATCACCGGAGTGAGTTGGTGTTGCTGCCTCTGTGTTTACAGAGAGAAGAAGAAGTAGAGGGCTAAGGAAAAGAGAGAAAGTGAAATGTGAGGGAGAAGAGAAGAGAGAGTTGAGAAATGTGATAGAGTCCCCAAGAGTTTTGGAGGAAAATGGGACACAGGAACAAGGAAAGAGTGGGGTGTGGGCCCCACGTGGCTCACAAAACAAAGTCCAAAGTATCTTTCGAACGTGAAATTACTAATTTGCCCTCGGTATTCAGTGTTTCGTAAGATCTTTATTTCAGCTCCGAATTCAAATTCACTTGCACCTACAAGTTCCTGGTGACGATTACTACACCAATATGCTAAAAGAATGGGTCATACATCTCACTATACGGTGGTCAACGAAAGTCAAAATCTTAGCCTTTAAGGTCATTTTGGTTAATTCACTCTTTTAAAATTAATAAAATCGTAAAATTAGGGATATGTTGCTACAGTAACAATTCAAAATTTTCTGATTTATATTTTTTTTGTCTAAAAAGTCTAGACACTTGATTAGAAATACCCAACGGTCCATAGGGGTGGGCATAAAAACCGTCAAACCGCAAAACCACATTGAACCGTATGAAAAAAAACCGAAAAGAACCATGTTGACTAAAAAAGTCAACTTTGAGTCAAAAATCGAACCTAACTGGTTTAAACCGGTTCTGGTTCCGATTTCGAATGAACAAGAACCGGTCGAAACCGAACCGAACCGTTTTATTAATAATAAAT